ATTATTTACAAAACGCTGCGCAGCACGTGCGTCCGCCTCAAGGTAACAGTTAACATGTTAATATCAGAAGGCAAGGGCGGGACTCTGAACATGAAAGTTAATTTATTCAATTTGAATTCAGGCATTCTAAAAATGAAAGACAGTAGAAAGAAATCTCTTTGGTCGATCAATCGTACAACCTTTCTTTTTCGAATAGTTTAAAGGGATATCAATTTAAAGGTTTTTCTTAGTTGAAATAAATCGCAAGTTGCTTTAATTAAGTATTTAATTTGTTTTAAAAAAATAGTAAGAAACTTTATTTTGTTGGAGTAATAGCTCTATTAAGACTATCGAATTTCGATCTTCTAAAATATTATAGCTACTGACAGGCGCGGATCTGAATTTTCTCGAGGGAGGTGGATTTTCAGCGAAAAATCGAAAGTTTCGACGACTGTTGAAGATCGACTAAATTGATTTTCCGAGCTCTCCCAAAACTTTGTAAAGACACCATTTTTCATCTACAGTGTTTTGAGAGAGCACGGAAAAATCAATTTGGCTGATCTAATAATTGGACAAATTCTTCAAACTCGGCACAATAGCGGGGGGGGGGGGGGTATAGACTTCTCTTAAATCCGCCACTGCGGCGAGTTAGAAACATAATATTTTCAAATTCTTATATAGTTTGTGCTCTTGGATAAATTAATTATTTTTTATATGTTTGTATATAGTGTATGCTCAAGGATAAATTTATTCTTCTTATTAGATAGATGCTTTAGGCGGTCGACTGACTTTTAGTTGGTGGATGTTTAGTTGTAAAATTGTTTGATGAACTTCTTGCTGAGGAGAAGGTCGAAGTAAATGCCGTATAAATTGTACTGATATATATTTACCCTTGCGATAAGCAAGGGTATTGCAATCGGATATTAGACTGTTTTTCCCCGTAAACAACTTTGTTCTCAGAATAGTCATTTTAGTAGAAATGGTAAACTGGGCCCGAATAGTGGGATTTTACCACTTCTGAAATGCTCATATTTTTGTAATTCAAATAAAAGTACCATCATTTAAGTAGTAATTAAGTAAAGACTGTTTCAGGTTGTTATAAATTTTTCAGAAAAATTTCTCAAATTTTGTTCGGGTTGGTGGTTTTTGTCCTAGTTGCTGTCGGTTTATTTTCACTGTTTTTAAAAAACACTTTTTTTTATCTGGTAGGGTTTTTATTGGCTTACTTTTTAAAGCATGTGTTTTGTTCCAATTTAAAATGTTTTTTTTTTTTAAATTTAACTTAAAGTTCTGTAATTTGTAAATTTGCCAATTTTGGGTATTTTTTTAAAAATTTTTTTTTGTTAAACTGAAACAGTTTGTTATTTCGGTTAAGTCAATTTATAGTGTGTCATTTTGAGGGCAAAATATATTCGTATAGGATTATGTGCTTCTGAATGGATGAGTCGTACAAAATTTTACAATTATTTTTTTGGCTTAACTGGTTTCGACACAAATTTTGTTGCCTTTGTTCTGCCACAGGTTTTCATCAAAATGAGTTTGTTTGAAACAAACATTTGAACTTTTTGGGTGTTGTTTTTTTGGCGTTTTGTGAACGTTTTTTACGATACGAGTGAGCGGCTTTTTGTATCGTAAGTTGTGCGAAACTCAGCTTCGCCTCTATAAATAACCCGAAAGCTCATTTTACTGGAAACGAAATAAATCTCTGTTATACTAAGATACCCGTGCACTGTAAACCAAAACTCTTATACTTTCTCGAGGTTTTGTATCGACCTTACTTAGCTAGTTGCAGAAGTTTCAATATAAGTGACATTTTTGTTAATTTGGAACAATTATCTCACGGTTTATCAATAAAATTTATCAGTTTCAAACGGAAGAATTTGAATGGGCGGCAAAAACTGATTTATGTGAACAAAACCACTCGCGTCGATCGGAAAAGCAGTGGAGCAAGTGGTTGCTACTTGCCTAAAACTTGGTCTGATGAAAAACATAGCCCTGTAATTTCAGTCGTTATTTGGATATCTTCAAGTAACATCTTAGTAAAATTTTGTCCTGAAAAAAGGTGTGATTGTTTAATGTGCAATTTTTGTTTGTTTCTTTTTTTATTCAGTCAAATTTCTGCAATCGAAATGATAGTTGTAGCCAAAATTTTTTTTGTCCCATTGAAGATAAATTCCGATTGACCGACTTACTGAGTTAAAATTTTTTAAAAATACTTCGATCATTTTTTTTCGTGAAGTTATGGCGAATTGCACTGGACTAATTATGCGCTTTTGTTTTTGGCTCAATGAGCGACTTAGAGCGAATCTTTTTAGCTCAATGAGCGCATTTTTGACTTCGCGGACACTCGTTGAAAAGTTGATGACTTATTTGGCGATGTATTTTGTGTTTCTTGACTTTTTTAAATTTTTTTTTCAAAATATTTTGATTGTGGTTATTTCAGTCTCATTTTCTATTTGCTAGTTTGCAATGCTGTGCCTGCGTAAGGTTGCAAGTGACGCGATGATCCGCTTCGCCTGTGTGTTCATTTTAACAGACCAGAGACTATGATTTTTCAATATTTTAAATATAAAAGCTATCGAGATATATCTTTGTCTTAATGAACGAGCAGTCCTGTTTCAGTATAATTTACTGTGACGCACTTCTGGTTTTCATTCCGCTAAAGAGGTCTAAATTTATCCGTGAGACGCTCTCTCTTACTCTCTGCGTTATGTATGAATTTCGAAAAATGATTGATACTGCTCATTAAGGATGTCATTTGCTTGAGTGTTCTATGAGGGCTGAGTTTTATGATTGCCTCACGTCAAACCGTGTCTTTTCTCGGTGCCGGTCTTTGCTTGGTAGTGCTACCCAGTTTTTTGCTTAGATCTAATACCAGTATACACCTTGTGCGACGCTTTGGGATTAACACTATTGCTCCATCTATTTCTCAGCCAGCTTATCCTCTGTCCGCCCTGAGTGCTCAGAGAGTCGTACAGGGTTGTTTGCTGTAGTGTACAATTTGCGGTGACAGGTTAAGTTTCTCGACAACAATGAATTGCACTCGTTTTGAGGCTTGCATGAGTTGTTTCGGTGTTGAACAATTTAAAACTGATACTGGACTTCCTGTGTCCACCGTCATATAAATGATTTGATTAACTATTCTCACCAGTGCCTGAAATGGTTCCTTTTTTGGTTTTAGATCTCTAGAGATTTATTTTTTTCTGCATCAAAACTCCTTGACACTGCTTTTTTGTATCGTCTTTTTCTTGTCTATCCTATTTTGAGTGTAGTTTTCGATGTATATCATTAATATTTGTCCTATTTTTTGACCTGATCTCGAGTTCGTCGCATGAACCGAAGTTCTTCAACAATTTGTTTACATCTTCTGAGACTTCCGACTCCTCTGCTGTTTCTCTTACTTGCTGCAACCTGCACATGTTTGCAAAGTGGTTAGGTTTGTTGCAATTTTTGCACAATTCACCCTTAGCTGGGCATTTTTTGAATTTTCAGTCCGAGACTTTCCTTCCTCATCTGTTGCATTTTTTTGTTTTTTTGTTTTTGAAATCATTTTAGAAATTTAGTTTTGTATGGGTCTGTACACGTTCGCGTGTTGTTCGTGTTCGTATTCCTGGTTTGTCAAAGTCTATTTTTTTTAATCTAATGGCCGTTCATGGATAATTTCCTGCTCCTGTAGTGAATGAATTTTCTTCTGAAAAGCGAGTGTCGTCTGTTTGCTTTCTTCAAGCTTTAATGCTCTTTTAAAACTCCCTCAGGAGATAATGCTTCGAATTTCAGTCTCTCACAGAGTGACATTGGAGTCTTTGATATGAATTAGTCTTTGACTAATTTGTCTTCTAATGTTCCTAGTTGATCTAGCTGCTTGTTCAGTTAGGGCTTCATGGCTTCCTGTGATCTATTGAACAATTTGTATCGTTTATAAGTGACACCCTTCATTTTTTCGAATGCTTTTTTTGCCGTTTTATCTTTGTTCAAATCCGAGTTTTGAAATTTTTTTGCGGAGTTTTTTTTTGCATGAATTTTTTTCCCTTCTGGTCCCAAGGCTAAGAACAATCTAGACACAAAACGTTTTTGACCCTCTTGGTTAAAGATGTGCCCCTTTATTGGACCTCTTTCCTAGCATTACTCACTCTCCAATGTCAATTTATCCTGAGCAAATTTATCTCGAAAAAGTCATGTGGATGTAGCATCCGGAATTTCTCAGTCTCTTGGAAGAGTTTCTTCTAAAACCGCCGTCGGATCTTGTAAGAGTAACTCTTGATTGGCATTTGACATTCGAGTTGGTGTAAATCAAATTTTGATTTGCCATGACGGGTACGAATTTGCTACGGTCCAAAATACTGGTGTTCCCATGTCCGTCCGGTTGTCGTGCATCAGAAATCCTGCTGGCTGTGCCATGTGATGACTCAAAGAACTTAGTCTTGTTTTTGTATAATAAAACTTGAACGATTTCCAAGAAGTCTATTCGGTTTTTTATTTTTTTCTTGCTTTTTTTAGCTCAGATTTCACTGGCCATTTGCGTAGTTACACGAACTGACATTGAGTATCGTTTAGTTCAATACTTGTGGCGCTATATGGCCTCTACAATTGATTAGTAACAATAATAAGTTTACATAAATAACATCCATCAAGGTTACTGCAACCGCAGTTTTATAGTCTAATTGCGAGCTAATTTTGCTTATAGTCTGCTACTATGATAGGCGTTATAAAAGAACAAAAAGTTTTCTTTAAGTCATGAAAAACTAGTTTATGGAGCTCTATTTAGCGCTCCCTTTACAATAATTTTTTTTCAAAAATCAAAAAATGCAAAAAAAAACTTTTTGTTAAGTTGTTTTCAGCTCATAGATTGTTTGTATCTTTTTAATTCAATTTGCTTCCCTATAAAACAGCAGAGACTTAACAGAAAATATAATTTTGCGTGGGTTAATGCGACCAAAGCATTCTTGTGCAGCTCACTGTTATGTATTGGAGTTTCGATTTAACAGTGCATTTCCTGTGCGTAATTAGTGCGCTTTGTTTAGAAAACCGAATTAGGTGGGTTTGAACGTGGCCTTGTGCCTGAGAAGATCATAGGAGCCACAGACAACGGTGGTCAGCTGAAATTCCTCATGAAGTGGAAGGGATTAGATCAAACAGACGTCGTGCTGGCCAAAGAAGCCAACAAAAAATGCCCTCAAATTGTGATCAAATTCTATGAGTCATCGCTCACCTGGACAAAAGACGAATGAGTTCATCTTTTCGTGACCTTTCATTTTGGTCACAGTTTTAATAATTTTGAACACATTGGCTGTGAAAACATCTGAAAGTACATTTTAAATGCAACCAAACTCAATTGAACTTTGTCTTATTGTAAAATTGTTTGCTGCTTCTGTTTGTTTGTTTTAGAGAACTCTTCTTGGTGTTGTCAAATTAAACAGTTTTACTTTGCTTGCTTTTAATGAGCATTTCTTACCTCAGTGATTAGCACTTATCAAAGTGTATCCAAATCAGCTTAAATCAGCTTTTATTTCCCAAGAGGGATCTATCTCCTTCTTCTGCAAAAGGGGGGGATTGGTTACTAGGTAAAAAATTCTCTTGCTTAACCGTTAAATTAGTTCTTAATAGGGGTGCCAATTCGTTACCAAGTACCGAACTAATGGGGGTATAGTTAGAGATCCGAAAAAAAACAGTCAACAATGAAAAGACATCTAATTAGTTAGATAGAAGACTGAAAATAGCACAGAATTAGAAATGAGAAAGACGTTAAAGGCTTGATTGATCGACTGATCATTAAAGAGCTAGTCGAAGTAGTTAGAGGCAGCAATTAATGGTGAGCTGTTTTTTATTTATTTTGGTTTTGAACAAACTAGAACTGTATTATTATCTCAAGAACAAAATCAAGCAAAAAATTTTCTTCGGCATGGGAACTAACTTCATCGGAGAATGTCCAGTTGGAGGACAATCATTTTCGTGAGATCCTGATAAAAAAAATAGTCAACCGCGCGATTAGTAAATGTTTTGAAAGTGCAGTAGACTTCTCACGTCTATAATTGACAATGTTGGATTTTTGTAAACATGCTTAATGTCTTGTATCAAGAACACTCGATGGTTTTTCACGTTTGCGCCATTCGGATGCATGCTAGGATAAACAATCATTGCAAGGAAAAGATAGTAAAAAAAATTAGCCTTCGCCATCATATTTGCAGACAAATTATTGACTGAGTTTCTTAAATTTACTTCAATATTAATCATAGCGCTAATAAGGTGTCTTTGTCTTTTGTCAATGATTAAGTTTGTTATACTTATGGTTGCAATTAAATAGCGTTAACTAAAATCGAAATCCGATTTTTTTTTCAGATTAACAAATTGTCTAACAAAATCAGTGGTTAAAAGTTTTATGTTTAATTTAAGCATTGAGGCAGCGACCATGCCTGAGACCACAAATTTATGTGTGTAAGAGTCCATCTAGAACCTGTTCTTGAGTCAAAGTGAAAAGTCTCAGACCTCAAAAAAGAAGCTTTTGTACTAATACGTTTGCTTTTCATTGTCTGGTTAGTTTTCATTGTCAGCATAACCTTTCCATGAAGGTTCCATTTGATGTTCCGACTATTGAAAATGGAGAGGATTTTTATATTTGGGTGTAATTTCGTTTTTTTTTTCATGTTTTTTCGTATTCTACGTAAAAACGGATACGAGTATACGACAAATCAATATCAGAAAGGGGTGAGTGATAAAGCAAGCTAAAAGCCTCTCGTCGTAATTCAAAAATCAAAAAAAAAATCGAAAATCGTCCCAGTTTCGAGAAAAACCGGATTGATTTGTTAAGTTTTAGTCTAATGTCGAGTAAATAAATGATCGAGTAACGTTCGTTATATAAAAATTTGACGTTAAGGCTGAAATAATTTTGATTTTACCAAGGCAAAACTAGTTTTGGAAGCTTCATTTTGGGCTTCATTGGCAATAAACTAAAAAATTGTATAAAATTTTAGTGCGCAAAAAAATTAAAATTTTTTTTTGTTGTTCATCATTTTTTTGTTGTTGTTTGTGTTTCTTCATTTCTGTTATTGTTTGTTATTCATTTTTAGACAGCTGTTGTCGATGAAGCTTTATTTATTAACTTTAGACGCGTTTGTACAGTTTTCTCATCACATCAAGCTTAAGCACCGTTAATTTGAAGGACATAATTTTTTTGTAGTTTTTCTAAAGTGGTCGGAACATTATCTGCTATTTGCACAGTCACCGGCTTTCCTTCATTTAAGCCATCATTTTTTTTGTTGTTGTTTGTTGTTCTTCATTTCTGTTATTGTTTGTTATTCATTTTTAGACAGCTGTTGTCGATGAAGCTTTATTTATTAACTTTAGACGCGTTTGTACAGTTTTCTCATCACATCAAGCTTAAGAACCGTTAATTTGAAGGACATAATTTTCTTGTAGTTTTTCTAAAGTGGTCGGAACATTATCTGCTATTTGCACAGTCACCGGCTTTCCTTCATTTAAGCCATCATTTTTTTTGTTGTTGTTTGTTGTTCTTCATTTCTGTTATTGTTTGTTATTCATTTTTAGACAGCTGTTGTCCATGAAGCTTTATTTATTAACTTTAGACGCGTTTGTACAGTTTTCTCATCACATCAAGCTTAAGAACCGTTAATTTGAAGGACATAATTTTTTTGTAGTTTTTCTAAAGTGGTCGGAACATTATCTGCTATTTGCACAGTCACCGGCTTTCCTTCATTTAAGCCATCATTTTTTTTGTTGTTGTTTGTTGTTCTTCATTTCTGTTATTTTTTGTTATTCATTTTTAGACAGCTGTTGTCGATGAAGCTTTATTTATTAACTTTAGACGCGTTTGTACAGTTTTCTCATCACATCAAGCTTAAGAACCGTTAATTTGAAGGACATAATTTTTTTGTAGTTTTTCTAAGGTGGTCGGAACATTATCTGCTATTTGCACAGTCACCGGCTTTCCTTCATTTAAGCCATCAATTTTTTTGTTGTTGTTTGTTGTTCTTGATTTCTGTTATTGTTTGTTATTCATTTTTAGACAGCTGTTGTCGATGAAGCTTTATTTATTAACTTTAGACGCGTTTGTACAGCTTTCTCATCACATCAAGCTTAAGAACCGTTAATTTGAAGGACATAATTTTTTTGTAGTTTTTCTAAAGTGGTCGGAACATTATCTGCTATTTGCACAGTCACCGGCTTTCCTTCATTTAAGCCATCATTTTTTTTGTTGTTGTTTGTTGTTCTTCATTTCTGTTATTGTTTGTTATTCATTTTTAGACAGCTGTTGTCGATGAAGCTTTATTTATTAACTTTAGACGCGTTTGTACAGTTTTCTCATCACATCAAGCTTAAGAACCTTTTATTGAAGGACATAATTTTTTTGTAGTTTTTCTAAAGTGGTCGGAACATTATCTGATATTTGCACAGTCACCGGCTTTCCTTCATTTAAGCCATCATTTTTTTTGTTGTTGTTTGTTGTTCTTCATTTCTGTTATTGTTTGTTATTCATTTTTAGACAGCTGTTGTCGATGAAGCTTTATTTATTAACTTTAGACGCGTTTGTACAGTTTTCTCATCACATCAAGCTTAAGAACCGTTAATTTGAAGGACATAATTTTTTTGTAGTTTTTCTAAGGTGGTCGGAACATTATCTGCTATTTGCACAGTCACCGGCTTTCCTTCATTTAAGCCATCAATTTTTTTGTTGTTGTTTGTTGTTCTTGATTTCTGTTATTGTTTGTTATTCATTTTTAGACAGCTGTTGTCGATGAAGCTTTATTTATTAACTTTAGACGCGTTTGTACAGCTTTCTCATCACATCAAGCTTAAGAACCGTTAATTTGAAGGACACAATTTTTTTGTAGTTTTTCTAAAGTGGTCGGAACATTATCTGCTATTTGCACAGTCACCGGCTTTCCTTCATTTAAGCCATCAATTTTTTTGTTGTTGTTTGTTGTTCTTCATTTCTGTTATTGTTTGTTATTCATTTTTAGACAGCTGTTGTCGATGAAGCTTTATTTATTAATTTTAGACGCGTTTGTACAGTTTTCTCATCACATCAAGCTTAAGAACCTTTTATTGAAGGACATAATTTTTTTGTAGTTTTTCTAAAGTGGTCGGAACATTATCTGCTATTTGCACAGTCACCGGCTTTCCTTCATTTAAGCCATCATTTTTTTGTTGTTGTTTGTTGTTCTTCATTTCTGTTATTGTTTGTTATTCATTTTTAGACAGCTGTTGTCGATGAAGCTTTATTTATTAACTTTAGACGCGTTTGTACAGTTTTCTCATCACATCAAGCTTAAGAACCGTTAATTTGAAGGACATAATTTTTTTGTAGTTTTTCTAAGGTGGTCGGAACATTATCTGCTATTTGCACAGTCACCGGCTTTCCTTCATTTAAGCCATCAATTTTTTTGTTGTTGTTTGTTGTTCTTGATTTCTGTTATTGTTTGTTATTCATTTTTAGACAGCTGTTGTCGATGAAGCTTTATTTATTAACTTTAGACGCGTTTGTACAGCTTTCTCATCACATCAAGCTTAAGAACCGTTAATTTGAAGGACACAATTTTTTTGTAGTTTTTCTAAAGTGGTCGGAACATTATCTGCTATTTGCACAGTCACCGGCTTTCCTTCATTTAAGCCATCAATTTTTTTGTTGTTGTTTGTTGTTCTTCATTTCTGTTATTGTTTGTTATTCATTTTAGACAGTTGTTGTCGATGAAGCTTTATTTATTAACTTTAGACGCGTTTGTACAGTTTTCTCATCACATCAAGCTTAAGAACCTTTTATTGAAGGACATAATTTTTTTGTAGTTTTTCTAAAGTGGTCGGAACATTATCTGCTATTTGCACAGTCACCGGCTTTCCTTCATTTAAGCCATCATTTTTTTTGTTGTTGTTTGTTGTTCTTCATTTCTGTTATTGTTTGTTATTCATTTTTAGACAGCTGTTGTCGATGAAGCTTTATTTATTAACTTTAGACGCGTTTGTACAGTTTTCTCATCACATCAAGCTTAAGAACCGTTAATTTGAAGGACATAATTATTTTTGTAGTTTTTCTAAAGTGGTCGGAACATTATCTGCTATTTGCACAGCAACCGGCTTTCCTTCATTTAAGCCGGCTTTCAGAAAGTTCGAATACGTTTTCTCTGGTCAATTTTTTTTGCGAAATTTTCCATAAAGAAAACAAAAGAGCATTTTCTAGCTATAGGTATGTTACTGAATGGGCCGTGACTACTCGATCATAGACTGCAAAGCAATGCTTCCTCATAGCTTTTTCCTCTATCTCAAAGCAGACATATAATATTTTTGACATACGTTTTTGTGGTATTTATATTTTGTGTCAAGATTTTGTCAGAAGTTTTTTTTTATGACTCTAATTAGTGTGTTATACTGCGGACTGACTTGCAGTGCATGGATTACATAATAATCATAATCATTTTGCTTCCAACTATGCAATAATTCCAGAAAGAAAAATTGATGTTTATTAAGTCGACCGAATTGGTTGTCCGAGCGCTCCAAAAACAATATGAAGACCCTATTTTGTTAACATTAAAAAAAGGTCAGAAATTGCCGTTTTTGGGGCACTTTTTGGAAAAATTTGACCGAACTGCGTTTTTTCGACGCGCGCTCTCCTCCAATTTTAGTATACCTTAGAGTCAAAGGCGCTTTCTGAAAATTTTAGGGTTGGTCGGCCGAAAATTTATGTCATAAAATAATACCAAAGGGGGGCCTTTGGTTTGTGAGGGGTTCGAATCCCTGAGGGTTGGTGAGGGGGTCGAAGCCCTGAGGGTTGGTGGGGGGAGGGGTAGGGCGTCCACCTTTCTTTTAAATCCGCCCCTGAGTGGAGGTTCAGGAGCAAGTTTAGGGGATGGAACGCAGAAGTTTCTCAGGAATTGAACAAGGATTGCTGCCCTGCTAGTATTTGACGACACACATCCAATAAAAATCGATAAAAAATTCAATGCGTTTCGCAATCAAAAAAAGATTTTCAGACGTCTAAGGGTCAGTATTAATATTCAAAGCTGTGCTTTTATTCGAGCAATCTTGTTTTGCATTTGGGATGCCGGATGACTGTGCAAAATCATCAGGTAAAATGAAGACGGTGGTCAAATGAACCCATTAATTTCACAATATCTTCAAAAATTAAACTTGCACCAGTTTTCTGGGACTTTTCCATGTTTTTCTGGAGCACATGTGTTCGCTGTAGTGTTCAAGCTTTGAGGCGTTCAAATTTTAATTTGAATTTCATTGTGATTGTATCTCCATTATGCAGTTTATGACGTGGTTGGTATTGATTTTCTCGGGTTGATTTTGGCGGCTGGTATTGACTGAAAGATGGCGTGAGATGCTTAATCACCCTCTCTGTTTATACACTAAACTGTACAGGGAGCTCCCACACACCGAGTTGTACCTGAAACAGAATCCTAATAATTAAGAAAAAATTGATGCTTTGAGTCAATTTGGCAGGAAATTAAAATTTCGAAAGGCAGAAATCAGATCAGCAACGGATTTAGGAAAGAAGGCGTATCTCGTGCCTCTTTTTTTAAATAATCGGACTCCCTATTTGGGAATTGAGCCACCTTCACACTTTGTACCATTTTGAAACATATATTTTTGCATGAAACAAACACTTATAGTTTTACTAGGGTGCATTTAGTGGCAAAGTTTTAGTCTTTTTTGCGGACAAATATATACCAGATTTGAGGTCTCAAAAAATGTTTTATTTTTTCAAAAAACTCAAATTGAAATTGCAAGAAAATTTTTAATTCTTATTTTGAAAAAAAAAACAGGGAAACGATCAAAATCACAGGTTTTTGATGGTTATCATCACTGTTTCGTTTATCTGCCAGTTTTTTTAACAGTCTGCGAATATTTATAGCTGCTTAATGGCCATAAAAGCACATCAAAGAAGCAGCTGTTTTGAAATGTCTAATGCTAATGTGACCAAAACAAACAAGAGAATTTCACCTCAAACAAAACCTGTTTCATCTGATAAATATGCCAAAAACTAATCAAAATATTTTACCACGCATGAATTATTTAACATCCAATTTATAATTAACCGATTGTGGAAATGCATTTTAAGTTTTTGTCACTCAGCATCATATTTGAAAGATTTGCTTAAATCTAAGGCATCAGGCGTGGTTAAAAGCATATACTTATGTCATTTTTTGGAAAAAAAATTAAATATTTTGTTTAAATTTTCGGACTCTGAAATAGCTTTGTGATCGGCTTAACCCATTTTTAAATATAATAAGCGTTGAAGATTCAAGTGCCCTCAGAATTATTATGGGACTAGTCAATGAATACGATACGTCGTTAAACCTAAAAAAATTGGTCGAATTGGCATTACGTCAAAATCATTTTGGCAATTGTTTTTTAAACCAAAATTCCTTCTACTGTTGGATAAATCGTACAATTTCTCCCCCCAATCGATTTAAAGGAAAAAAATATGATTTTTTACTGGGATTATTAAGATTAGAACAGAACATCAATCACCGAACTAGCAGATTAAATTATCGGAAATTAGATAAAGCGTCAATTCATTTGACTTTGTAGACTACCAAAAAAAATGTATGAATAATTCTGATTAATTATATTTTGTGCAATCATATGAAATGCAGAATTAATACATGCTTGGGGAGGACATTCTACAGTAGGTCACTTAAGAGAGGGCGGATTCTATGGTTGATCCCTGCTGTTTTTTTGTTTTATTCTCTCAATTATCAAAAAAATATACAATCGACCAATGATTTTTCATGAAAGATCATATAACGCTAAGAAGTTGGATCTACTTAACAATCTCCACCCCTTTCAAGAAAGGGGAAAACTTGTTTAGTAGATCAAAATGGTCGATTTTTCTACCCATCAGAATGCAGCAAAATTAAATTTCTCAATAGAAAGCTCAGTGTTAATTTACTGTGTTTATTTAGAGGGACGGAGATTCTTAAGTAGGTTCCCGTGGGGGGAGGGGGAGGGAGATTGTTAAGTAGATCCAAGACGTTTTCTTCTGAAAAACTTTATATTTGAAGAGTTTTTACCAAGTTAAAGTATGTATGAAGCTGCAGAGCTGTTGTTTTTCCTACTCAACTTACTAATTTTGGTGGTAATTTTACTTGTGATAAAGTTTCCACGAGCAATTGCTCATTAGTGTTTCCTTTTTTGGGTTGGAATGTAATTTTGTGAGTTTGTGTTTGCGCTTCTTTTGAAAAATGCTTTGAGGTGACCCGGCATAGCAACTGAATAAATTCTTTCGGTCGTAATGCTTCAAGGTTTTCTTCAACATTTGTTTTCATCAGGTATCATTATGTTCTTCAAATCAAATGATAAAAAAGAGATTTATTCATCCCTCTGCCTTCTTGTAAAAACTAGCGAACTGTTTTAGAAATTGCGATCAGATCAAAAGTATGAGAATAATTTTATATAAAATTTTTTAAAAACTTTTCTGAGTTTCAATAAACGCTTTGAAGGCACCTTTTTTGGCCGCGCTGATTTTTTAATTTTTTTTTCAGGAAAAAATCAATTGTGTACGCTAATTTTTGATAATTTTTGCGGTTTGACTTTCGACTTTCTAAAATTCAATTCAAATTCATTTGCTGAAGGAAATGCAATTTATGTTTACCATTAACATAATTGCAATTTGCTCAACTTGATGTGAATGACTTTGAATTTTGAAAGTGGCTTCAGTTTTCAAAAACATCAGCGCTAAACAAATTTTTCTACTGATCCAATTTTCTCAAGTTTAGTAAATTTTGTTAAAAAAAGTAAAAAAATAAAAAATCAAATATCTTCAAAGTGATTGATTTCTTTCCATTTTTTAAAACCTGAAAAATGTTCAGGCTTTTTTTATTTCCTTGATTTTTAGAGATCCTTGAATTCTGGAGTCAGTAAAAATCCTTGAATTCGTTGGATTTACTAGAAACATCTGTTTGGGGTTCTTTTTCATCCTTTTTTGAAATTTTGCTTTTAGTCTGCAAAAGAGAACATTTTGAAATTTTAGATTTTTGCAGAGCAATAAAATGTTCTGTTTTCATACACGTGAAGAATTTTCGTAATTGTACCTTTATCAGTTGCTTAGACTTTAAACTAAGAATTAACTGCTGTATATTGAAAACGTATTTGACTTTCTCTTGGTTTCAGCGCTGATTAAGATGATGCTATAAAAATAGGGAACTGAGTTATCATTTTGTTTGCGATTTTTAATTTTTTTTGCAGCAAGTTTTAAAAACCTTATTTAAGGAAATGTGCAAAATTTGTTTCTCTCTCTTAAAATTTTAAGGCTCGTTTTTCAATTTTTTAATGAAAATTTATGCACAAAACGGAAAAGATTGTGCACTGTTGGGAAAAGTCTAGTTACTTTTTTTCTTATGCGGTACCTTGCTAGGTTGGGAGAACTTGTTCAGTAAGAGAGCTTTTTTAAATTGCTAAACTCATTATGCTTAAATATTAAAAGATGAAGGTTTTGCTCGAGAGTTGATGAGTACAATATTATCTAAAGCTGCCTCATTTTTCAGTACTTTGACTATTGTTATGCAAAAATTAAGCAAATACTGCCAAATTAGGCAAAATTATATCTAGCTGCACGTTTCACTAATTTTATCAGCTGAAAGCTCAACTTTTCTAAAAATTGAAATGAGTTTTTCTTTCAAAAAAGGATTTGAATTGTATGAAAATGTTGATTTATATCTTGAAAAACGTTGATGCTCAGGGTTCAAACATGAAAATGATTTCACCTGTGATCAAACATCGCGCTAGTCATCATATCACCGTGCTAGTCATCAAAACAGTGATTGTTACGACTTTCGATACGAAAGTAACGGAATATTTGTGCTCGGGGTGGTTTTTTTTCAGACAAATTTCGACTTTTTAGCTAGCCATACTTGGCGGAATTTTTTTAAATTTCATTTGAAAGCTATTGTTGTCCTGAGCTCAAAATTGAAAAATTATTTCACCTGTGATCATTTTTCGTTAACTTATGAGGGTTTAAACATTGCCATTTTGGCCATTTTGACCAATTTTGAACAATTAACGCGCGATGTAATTCGCGCTATTAACGCGTAAGCGGAGATTTAATCCGTCTTGGAAATCGTTCCAAATTGGTTGAAAGAAGCTTATTTGCCATAATTGATTTGTTACAAGGAGCGAAATCTGTTGTTTTCTACTTGATATGGCGTTTGGGGGACCATTTTCATAGAAAAATTTCAAATTTTGGAAAAAAATTTTCATTTTATTTTCTTTCATTTAATTTTTTTTATGTTGTTTATGTTATTACTGCTCCATAAACAATAAAAGGCAGTCGGAACTTTCAGGGCTTTGCCCTGATACGAGCAGTCTTGTTTTTAGTTTGTTTCTAATCATGTTATTTCAGCAATTATTTCTTCAAGCCGTACTACGCCTAAAAGCAGCTAAAAAGCACAGCTGTACATATTGGTATCAATGAATAGGATATGACAAAATCAATTCAGTTGAACATAATTGCATATTTTCAACTTAAAAATCTACTAATTAAGCTACTGAAACAAAGCCTGAGAAGTCAAAAAGCATTACGCCCAAAAACACGAAAGGGATGTTTGCTTTAGATTTTACAGGATACCAGATTTGTTTGTAATTTTAAATCACTTACTTTGATTTTTGCGATTCGGTACAGACCTTAAATAATTTTTTCTAATGTTTTTTTTCGACTTCTGAATCAGTAGACCAAAACTTTTTTAAGAAAAAAAAACTTGAGGTTTTTGTTTGATTACCTTTCATTACCCTCAGTTTGAGGAAAACAATAAAAATGTTTTTCAATCATACTTCTCAATTAACAAAATGCAAAAAAATAGCAAAAACGGAAAAAAAGAGTTGGAGTAACTAGGACAATATCTAACAACAGTTGTTTCAACAAGAAGTTATTCTGAGATCTTGGAGAACTTCACACCACATAATGCAAATATACATGCCTGTTCGCAACCAATTTTTTTGTTCCGACTTTTTTGTGCTTTGGTGGTTTTTTTAGACAAATGACAAGTTTTGACTTTTTAACTACCAAGTTTGACAGAATTTTACGGTTTGAAAAATGTTGATGCTCAGGGCTCGAACTTGAAAATGATTTCATCTGTGATCAGTTTTCAAAAAATACAAGGATTTGATTTCGGGACTAATTTGGCCGCTATAATTAGCGTTCAATGAGTGATGCCCAAATCTATTCAAGCCATCACCTTAAAGAGAGGCTAGAAGTTGCAAATGGAAATCCTCAGAGGCTTTCCATTTGAAGTTGCACAGAGGCTAGACATTTTTAAATACCGAAGCTTTCGACCAAAGTTAGAGATCGCTCGGAGCATCCAGAGTTTCGCCTTGATACGAGTAGTTTTTTTTAGTCTTTCTGACAAAATTGGCAATTGTTTGAACGAAATTGCTGCCTCGTTTTAA